TCTTGCTCGTTTCACCCAACACAGATACAATATAAACAAAAAGAAAACACACACATACCCCTTGTCCAGCACTTTGTCAGACATGGCTGGCAGGCTGTTACAGCAACAGTGCTGGAGTCCAATCTGACCTGGTCCGTAGCCCAGAGAAGGAGAGCTGAAAAGATATGGATCAGTAGACTTAATGCAAGTATCCCCGGGGGTTTGAATGAGAGGTAGGACTTGGGTGGGACTCCTGGTGGGTGTGCCCGTGCACTCAGGGACCCTTACGCCTCGAGCGACGGGGTCTTTGACATGTGAGGACGGCGGCAGGGCCCACACTTCAAAGATCCTAACCCTAAACCCTAACATTAACCCTTAACCCCTGACTCTCGACCCTCGGACCCTGACCCTTGACCCGTGACCTCTGACCCTTAACCCTAACTAAATCATTGGACTGTTTTTATTTCAAATAATCTGCCAAAAAGACACTTTTTTTTTTTAATCTTAGAGTGATGCATGTTCCCACAACAGGGCATGCAATTCTCGGCAGCCATGTGGTTTTTGACTGATAAGGTGAGCTAGCATTAGTGGATCTGCACAGCCTACAGGTGCCTGGCTAGTTAATGTGTTGAATATTTCTTATCTAGACTGGTCCTATGGTTTTGATCTGCTCAGAGATGGGATTATAATGAAATTATGACCCGGTTCTGACTGGGTTAAACTGGGCCAGCAGCTCTAAGAGAGTCTCCCTGGGATTTCAATATCAGTCAAAAAAACAGTTTAATCTGCTTGCCACATCACATAGAAAGGCTTTTTGAAGCACTATCTCATATTTCCTAACACTTCAGAACCACATAAGATCCACTGAGATCACACTTAGTCACGCCTCCTCATACACTGACAGGTTGAGCTCCCCTTCTGCAAAGGAGGAGTCTAGGACCCTATAAATGAGTAATGACATGGGACATCGGGGCTCTTCTGGGTCTGAGAACGCGTCACGGACCGGAGAGTCCAGCGCTGTAAATTGTAACCTTTTCCTGCCTTGATTTTAATATAATTGATAAAACTTAATTGACGTTTCCTTGATTTATTGATAACGAGAGTTTTCACTTCTGAGGGAGATTCGAGCTGGGGGGAAAGACGTGGGCTGGAGGTAGTTTCCGGGTCCGGTGACCCACAGCCAGCTCCCGTCTTTAACAAATGGTTTTACAAAAGCACAGAGTTGAGCTTCCAGATCAGTCTCTCCTACAGAACTGACGTATGAGAACATTTGTTACATGTACTATTATCTTCAAAAGAAGCAGTGCCATCTGGCACATGGGCTCAAAGCCATGCTAAGCTAAGTGATAATTAGCAGATCTCAATACACTGAAACAAGAAATCCTGAAAAATAAAGACCACGGTGGAATAAGTTTAAGGTTAGGGTGATCAAGCAATATGGATCTGATGCTGGCAGTCTCTCAGTGGTGATACAGTCTCAGCTTTTGGGTGCGCTGAAAGTTAGTGGCTCGTTAGGCCCAGCAGATGTGGCGCAAGACTAGCTCTGCATAAGACTGGCTCCCTCTGCTCTCAAAACAAATAGAATACTGTAGTATGAACAGGGTGCAGATATATTCATACTTTAACGGGTTCTTCATTTTTCTGACTGTGTAACATGCGTGCATTGAATTTAACAGAAATGTAACGAGAGACGTTATTTATCTTTGACCCATCAAAATGAATGCGGTCATTTATTTACAGAATCAAAGTTTAACATCAAACATTTACATTAATTTGGCAGAATATGAAAACAACAACAGTATAGTTTTACAGGAAGTGAGAACAATACGGCGATTGTTTTCACTTTTCAGCTAAAACGGCAGACATCAATTAATCAGTTTTACAATCAGGAAAACCATACGGCCATGATTTTCCGTTGCATCACCACAGACATTAATGAAAACATCTGGACTAATTTTCTAGCAGAAAGGAGAGTTTAAAGATGGAAAATGGAGATTTATCTTACAGAGAGATGTGTGAGGGAATTTATCTGTGGTACCAGAACAACACGCTCTTTGGAGAATAAGCTTGGCCCACGGTACGCTTGGTCGAAATAGAACTTTTACCTGGCAGATGATAATCAGCGTCGGTGTAGAGTTCTCCTTTTGACTCTTTTCAGCGTCTCCGTGAGGACAGCCAAACCCTTAGGAGTCGTGTGAGGTTATCCAAACAGAAGTTATAATCCCCAAGATCGTCTCTGGATTCTGGATTCCAATAGAAGCATCCTGGACGCCTGCATTAGCATCCAAGAACTCTGAACTCTTTAACTCTCTTCAGAGAGTTAAACTCTGGAACTCTTCTCCAGGAAAAACTTTCAAGCTCTGAAAAACTCATCTCGTCTCGTCTCGACACGACAACGGAACTTTTAGACGACACTTCTCTCCGAGAACTGGGAAGTTGCCACATTTAAATGGGTTCGACTTCCGGTTCATTTGAGAGCTTTCTGATTCGTGGATGGACCAGAACAGTGGTGTGGTTTGTGATGTAAGGTGTTATGGAAAGTCAAGGACAGAGATTAAGTTTGTTTAAAACAGACAGAAAGATTGTTGGAGAACTTCAGACTTCGTGGAGTCTCTCCTCCTAGTATCTGCTGTGAAAGTTAAACATGACATTTCTTTTCAGTAAACCTTTTAGTTGACCGAGCCTCGAACTTTAACACACTTACAAATTTGCTCATTGAAGACATAAAAATCAAGAAATGCATATTAACCTGATTTCTTCTTTGCATGAGGAATAAAAATCATTACTTACTGTTTATGTAAAATAAAAATGAGTAGTTCTCTTCAACCTGTAAACATTGTTTGAACTAACACAATTTGATTATCAAACATTTGTAAAATAGTAATGATCATAGAGGATTGTCTTTTCCACTTGATTAATTCAAGAAAGAAAGTCTCAGGATGGGTCAAACTGTATTTCTGGATTCAGATCAATGAAATGACAGTTTCTGTCCCACAAGGTTCTTAAGGTCAAGGGTTTTGACCTTAGGCTTAGTTTGACATCAGGTTAAGTTCACTACAATACAACTAAAAACCAACAAGGGGCAGAAAAAACGTATTAATAAAACACAGTTTAAAGCCACACATGATTTCAGCTTAATGTGAGTTCAATCCAAGCCAATCTGAACCAATCTTATTATCTTAGCTTAGCACACAATTGAAGAACCTCACAGAACCATGCAACAGCCATTCACATAATTAAAAATACATCAAAGAATAAAGCACAAAACAAGAACAGCAAGGAATCACTAGAACAAAGTCAAGAAACAGAAACACTATTTAAAACTAGGGTGACTTGCCTGATTGATCTTAGCTTTGTGTTAGCGGTTAGCACAGCATCGTTGGGTCACGTGGCTCAAAGAAAACACCTAAAATAAAGCACAAAACCAACAAACGACCAGCATGCTAAACTAGCAAACAGTTTAAAGAACAGAAGAAAACAGTTCATAGCAAGTGTGAATCATATAAAGTGTGGGTGGCTGTGGTTGAGTGGTTGGAGCAGTCATCCTCCAATGCTAAGAGTTGGGGGTTCGAATCCACCAGCAGTCACATGCCGAAGTGTCCCTGGGCAAGACAGTGAACCCCTCATTGCCTCAGATGTGTGTCCCGTTGGTGTATGAATATGATAAAGCACTGATTAGTGTCTTTAGAATGATTTGTTCAAATAGCTTTTTAGAGATCTAGTAGAGTGCTGCATGAATGGGTAAAGGAGGGCACAGATTCAAGTGTAAAGTACTTTGAGTATCTTAATCAGATAGAAAGGTGCTATATAAGTACAGTACGGTCCATTTCAAATTTTAATTTCTCTCAAGCGACCTCTCCCCAAGCAACCAGAATTCCCATTTTCATCTGCACAAACAAGCACATATCAACAGTTTGAACGGTTTACTTACAGTGCAAGAAGTCAATGACCCACAGAAGGAGACGTTTCTCTGTAGCTGCATCCAACTCCGAATGACACCATAACTGGACTGGGTTTTTAAAAAAGCACATAGATGAGAGTGTGCTTAGAGGTTGTATCTGAATGACACTTGCAGTTTAAAATGAGCAGTATGGATGCGTGGATCCACTGTGGGTCGGCTGTTCTGTCAGTGGAAGGGGTTCAGCAGTGGCAGGACCTGACTGGCTTGGGGAAGAGTCTGCCCCAGATGGGTTTAGGGTACATCAATAAGGCAGACTTTTAGCAGAAGGAGGCAGGTCCACCACAGAGTCTACTGCTATGTGGGAACTGACCACATTTCTTCACTATACTACTGTCTTTACTTACTCTGCTCAACCTGTTTTGTATTTGTAATTATTTTCCATACTTGACATGTGTTTTTGGCTTTCAGGTACACCTGGACCTATATCTGGACTGACCATTCTATGTTTGTTTGCCTCTCCTTCTATGCTCTCAAACCAGCTGGTCAAAGCAGATGGACATTTGTACTGAGCCTGGTTCTGACATTCACAAATTATGCATACAAATAATTTTTTTACAATTGAAAACAAAATGATAATTAAAAGGATAATTAAAAGGAAACGTAGCAAAAAAAACCCTGCTAGATTACAAGGTGGTGTAGAAAACTAAAAACAGGAACATGTCTGCATTGGTTCTTGCCAGGAACTTAACAGATGTTTAAAGCCACTTAGAGAGGTCAAGGTCGAGCTGTTTAAAGCCACTTGCCTTCTAACTTATTTATAGATTGTTAAAGTGAATTTCATTGCAAATTTAAACATTACTGTACCAAATGCAGTCATTGTGATGGTTAGGGTTAATGATATTATATTAGGGTTAGTGATATTACCATGTCAGACAAGGACAATGAGGTTTTTGAGTATTTATGGCAATGTGGTACAATATGCAGGATGCTAACTGTTGATGATAGCTCATCTGAGTTCAAGGGCATCTGTAATGTGGTTGGGACACAACAATGTGTATAGGTGTGTGCGCAAACAAAGTGTGCAAAAAAACAGCATTTCGCCTAGATTTCCTTTAATTCCACACATTTAAAGCATTTTTCTCACCAAGTCTGTGTAAATTCAGCTGTGGGTTTTAAAGACATTTCAACTTTAATGCAGTTTAACACACAGCATCAGGACTGCACTGTGTTTATAGAGAAATAAAATAAAAACATCACCACTAGACTTTACTTTTGTTCAACACTACTCATCTAAAGGATGTTTCTCACGAAGCTTGAGGACAATAAGGTGTGGGGTTTTAAAGACATTTCAACTCTTATGCACCTTAACACACAGCATCTTACGCCTGCAGCATCTTACAGCATCACAGTTACTGCTAAGCTAAGATGCTACATAGCACTCCTCTCAAGCATCCTCCTAACCATGTATACATGTTTATGATCAACCTCCCCTGGTCAACAACTGCCCGCACTAAGTTTGCTAAACTGGCAAGCAAGCAACACAGAGGTACTTACACCTCCTCCACCTGTACGCATTTTCTGCCGGGGCAGGAGACTCAGAGAAGAAACAGTGCAGGAGGCAGGCTGCTGTGTTTAGAGTTGGAAGTAATCAGGAAAACCTGGAGTGGAGTTTTAGTGGCTTGAATATTCTCATATTAATCAAGTGGAATGGATTGTTCACAAAGAAAGAGAACCTGCACCGACTGAACTAATGTTTCATAGTAAAAGTGTGTTTGGGGGGGTCCAAATAAATGTTTTTTTAATATGGGGGGACATGTCCCCTTCACATATAATGGTTGTGATGCCTATGTCTGAGTTTTACCAGAGTCAGGTTGTGGAGTTTGCCTCTGGTTTAGCTGTTAAGCAGTGTTGGCCATCTGACCATGGTACCCTTCCAGTTCTTTTATTCCCTGGTGAAGAGGAAACTCACACGAACTCAATAAAATCAAGACAGGTAAATTCTATTTACCATTTAAAGTTAATAAGGCAGGAAAAGTTACAAGCTCAGCGCTGAGGCATCCGTCCAACCTGTCTTAACCCCGAACCAGAAGTGGAGATCCTGTGCAACAGAACACTCTGGCTTACGTTGGCCTTTGGCTCCTCCTTCACATCCGGGGTAGGCACAGCCTATCAGAGTGTATCAGTGGGGTGACTGTGCGACATCATTGGTTTTATCTGTTTCTGATGGTGGATAATGGGGTGATGTGCAAATCTATCTAAATGTTGGAAGCAAAAAAACAAAAAAGACTTGTCATCAGGTGTTGACCCTGGGATCACTCATTGTGAAGAGCTGATCTGGTCTAAATTAGATTATAATTTAGAGTAGGTCAGACCGGGCCTCAAGCAAGATTAAACTTCTAAGTTAGCACCTGCTTTATCTTACCTCTATCTGTCAGCTGATAATCCCAATGTTAAAAATTGTATCTGCACTTCAACAGATGTTTACACAAAAACTGTAGGGGACAGTTTTACTAAAACTTACCTCACTGAACTAAAGGGTTTAGCCAAGGTAAGTGGGAATGATTTTAAAGAGTTGTTGCGGGAGGTGATGTCAAAATTTGAGGAGTCCATTGAACCTGCTGGGACTGCTGCAAGACCTGGGTTAGTTAGTGATGCAGAGTCCACACAAAATACTGGTTTCCCTCCACACCACATTGATACCCCCATGCTCCTAAACCCATCCAGGGCCCTGATCCAAGTACCATAAACCCTAACCTGACACCTCACCTGCTGAACTCAACTGAGCGTATCTCATCTGAGGTACAGAGGATCATGGTTTAGCAAATTATCAAAACTACTGAGAAGACATCTAACACTCAATCACCTTCAGGTTGAAAGCCTTCTCTGGAAAAGTTCCCAGAGAGTAAAATTAACTCTATTGGAATTGTGCAATTACAAGTGATTTCTTCAAGCTGACCATGTGTGTAAACACCGGGTTGTGTGTGTTTCCAGTGGCTTCTTCACCAAAAACTTCTCTGATTTTTGAGCTAGAGCTACCTGCACGCTGGGAGACAGAGACCGCACGGTACCCATGATGACATCCGGAGAGTGCTACACGAGCAAGTGAGCACTACACAAGCATATCAGCAGAGAAGGAGGAAGAAGAAGAGGACGGAAGGAAGGAGATAGATACAATGATGACGATGAAGTAGTGAAAGAAAAGAGGGGATGAGGATAAGGGGAGTAGCGCTTCTGAAAAATACTTTGCACATTAAAAACATTTAGTGATTTGATTTGAATTTTTATAGACAGAGTACAATAAAAAAAAGTTTAAATTTTTTACCTGAATAACTGTTTTTAGTCTTGTGACCCTGAGGCTGCCGGTTTGTAGAAAAACTGCCAAATCTTTTCTAAGTTTGCTCACTGTGGCAACCCCTGAAGAGGGAAGCAGGCAAAAATGGAAAAAAAGGTATTTCGTCAGACAGCAGTTGTAAAACAGTAGCAAACGTGTTTATACAATGAAAACAGACTAGACTCACACACCACACAACTAAAACCCATAAAAACATAAACTTATCAGTCAGGGGGTCAAAACACAGGAAACACACAACATGTGGAGTAAGATGTAAAAAGGTCCAAATTTTCTGAAAGTGCTTATAAAATAAGCAGATCACTTTAGATTAGACAATTTCAAATTAAAATGATAAAAGCAAGTTTCAGAAGTAAACATCCATCCTTCCATCCATTATCTTTTAAGTACTTCTTCCTATACTGGGTTGCGAGTCGCTGAAACCCACATCCAGCAGTCACTGTGCAAGAGGCTGTTTAAAATAAAAAGTTTCAGATTAAATGTGATTCAATTTAAAACGTGCTTCAGAATAAAAAATGTTTGGGATCAAAATATGTTTCAGATTAAATCATGTTTCAGCTTCAGTTTGTTCTGAAAGTGAAAGCTGACTGTAGGTGAAAAACATCTAATTTATTTACAGTTTGAGCAGAGCATAAACCATAAAATGTGACCACAGCTGCAGTGCATATAAACATATACATGTAAAAATAAACATACATGTAGAAATAAGCATACATGTACAAGCATGTGATCGAAGTGATCAATGAGAGTTTGTTTTGATTGATTTGTGATGAATGAAAACTGCAGCGACTGATCCAGAATCAGATTATTCGCCTCCCCCATCTGTGTCCATGTCCTCATGCATCTCTGTGTGTGCATGCGTGCGTGTGTTAGGGGGCGGAGCTTGTGGCAGCAGAAGGTTCATTGTCTGTGCAGGAAAGGTTGAGCGAGCTCCACAAAGACTGTAACTGTGAGGGAGAGAGAGAAACAAAGAGGGGGAGGCCGACCCTTTTTTGGTGTGGGGGAGGTGAGGGGGAGGATTAACCGGCTGATCCGTGACACACGTTCACACACACCACACATTTTAAACAAACACACAATAACAGCTGCAGCGTGAGGCTTCATCTGGATCAGCATCGTCACTATCATCATCAGCATCAGCAGCGACAGACAAAGACAGAGCAAGGAGGAGGAGGAACAGGAGTGGATCTTCATCATCTGTGGAGTCAATCAGGAGCACAGAGATCGGCCTTCAGCCTGACAGCATCCTCCTTCAGTCATGGCTGACCACATGTTTGTGCTGCTGTGAGTGTGTGTGCTGCAGACAGTGGGTGTGTTTGCTCTGTTTGCTCCTCACTGTGTGTGTGTGATGGGGAACACAGAGAGCATGGAAAGCCAGCTGGCTGTGATCCGGTCCAGAGCTGCCCCAGTTCGGCTCCCAATGCCGGACCCAGCTGAGCTAGAAGAGAGGTTCTCCATCGCACTGGTGAGTACACATAAACAAGATGTGCATAGCAAACACAGGAAAAATACACTACACAAAGCAAGTGCACAACAGCAGATGAACGCACAATAAACAAAATATTTAGAAAATGAATTTAGTGTCATATGATGTGCCAAGTGCAGAAGCAACAAATTAATCATGTAAAGATGCAGTTTTGATAAAGGATAGAAGTCTTGGAGGATTCTAAGGTGGGACTCTATTGGTCTGTAGGGGTCTACTGAAACCTGAGGTGCACTCTACAGCATTTAAAAATCCAATAAACCTAAAGGTTTAGCGACTCTACAATGTTTAAAAGTCCAGTAAAAACAGAGGGGTTGGTCGAGTCCAGTGCTTAAAGCTACAAAACAACTAGAGGGTCCAGTGAGCTAGTTCTGACTTTTACCACTTTATGTCACTGATTCTATTCAATGGGTTGGCCTTAAATTATGCACTTTTTGAGACCAAAATTGTACTATAATCATCTCTATGTTTGATTTAGTTGAATAATAATAATAATAACGAAAGCTCAGTTGGAACAAAGTTCCCATTAAAAGGTTGAAAGTTGTGTCTGAAGCATATGCTCTGTGGTTTAGAATTCGATGAACCTGCCTCCTGACAAGGTGCGTCTGCTGCGTTCCTATGACAGCGAGAAGAAATGGGAGCTCATCTGTGATCAGGTGAGTGGTGTAGCAAGTTTCCTCACATCTTAATAAGTGGCATCTATTTTTCTTACTGGCATTAGATATGAAGCAGTTCTTTAAGTCAAAGCTACAGATGGAGTTTGTGTGGCAGGTACCTCAAGCCCACCAAAGACTTTGCCAGATCCCATGTTCCTTCTACGTGTTTTGTTTTAATGTTGGGACATAGGTGTTTTTATATTTCAATAAAGGAGAGGGTTATTTGCGTCTTTACATGGATATTTGTCAGCTCTATAAGCTGTGCCTTAAAATACATAAATTTATTTTATGAAATAAACTATTTTATGAGCACATAAACTATCATGTATTGTTTGATGTACTACAATGTATGTTTAGTATCAAAACACCAAAACACATCTGTTTGTCCAAGTCATATGCAAGCTAAATAACCAGTTTATCATGACTTATGTGGCCTTATTTAGGTCTTTTAAATCTAGGATACAAAAACATTGTGATCACTTCAAAACAAAGAAAATCATTCAAGTACTGGTAGTTGCTCTTAAATGATAACGTTGTGTTGTTGGGTGTGTTTGTAGGAGAGATTTCAGGTGAAGAACCCACCACATACCTACATTCAGAAACTGAGAGGTTTCCTCGATCCGGCTGTAACACGCAAGGTGATATATAAAAAAGTTTTTATGACATCAAAACTGAGGTTCAACTCTGTGGAAAGACAGCTTAAGGGAGAAATTGTTTAAACTTGAGTTTTCTGTACTGTTCCTGTCATTTCCAGTAACTTTGTTTTTGGACTGAATGAAAACCTAACCTGTCTGCCTACCTGTTTGCCTACCTGTCTGTCTGTCTGTCCACAGAAGTTCCGACGAAGAGTTCAGGAGTCGACACAGACACTCAGAGAACTTGAGATTTCGCTTCGGACAAACCACATTGGGTACCCGTCTGTCCGACTACCCATCCAGACCCCATCCAATTTTCTGAACTGTTTATATGACCCACCTGTCTCTCACCTGTCTCTCTGTATTCAGGTGGGTCCGAGAGTTTCTAAATGAGGAGAATCGAGGTCTGGATGTTCTGGTCGAGTATTTGTCCTTCGCTCAATATGCAGTCACGTGAGTCACATTGTGGATTTTTTATCTGCTGTTTGTGGTCCAAAAGGTTCATCTGGTGGTTTTCAAGATGGCGCCGGTGTATGTGGCTGCTCGTCTGTCTCTCTCGCGTTTGCTGTTGTTTGTGTTGTTTCTGACCTGGGTTGTCTGCGGAGCTGGGTCTCTGCTGGTGTACGATCGCAATACATTACTAGACCTCCGGCCACTGGTCCAGGATATGGAATTATTGGATGTTGCTGGCCAACAATCCTTGCCCCCGCTTCTGTCGGAGATTCCAAGCTACCTGTTCCGGGTTCCTGCGCTGCTTACACGGCGGAGACGTCATCGTCGTCGCGGTAGACGAAGCGGCTGGCTGGTGAAGCTGAATTTTATATGACGCACTGTTCTGCTTTTAACCGATCATCACATGGATCGTTTCTGGGCTCTCGGGTGCCTCGGCGTTTCTTGGATCCCGCTCATGTCTGCTTGGTGCCAGTGGTCGGCTTTCAAGCTCCTCTGCATCGCCGTCCCCGCCCTTCTTGGATCAACATGCGCCGACGGTGTCTCCAAAACCTGAGACCGCTGTGCCGGGTTTCCCGACCTGTCGACGCCCAGGATCCAGTTCCTGTCAGGATTGGCCTGATAAACGCCAGGTCGCTTGGGAATAAAACTTTTATTCTTCGGGACTTTTTTAGCTGCCAAAACCTGGATTTTTTGTTTGTGACTGAGACGTGGCTGAGTGTTGGTGAGTACAGCGCTCTATCTGAGCTCTTACCAGCAAATTGTGCTTATTTTAATTCACCACGGGCATCGGGGAGAGGGAGAGGCACAGCAACTGTTTACAAACAGGACTACAAATGTAAGCAGTGTTTTCTACAGACGTCTTTTCCCAGCTTTGAGTTTACGTCTTTTGAGATGAGACACGTAAACCCAGTTTTCTGTGCTGTCGTCTACCGGCCCCCCAAATATAACAAGGATTTTTTAAGTGACTTTTTTGACTTTTTATCTGGGATTTTAACTAATTATGACAAAGTTCTTTTTGTTGGAGACTTCAATTTGCACGTGTGCTGTCCTGATAAGCCTCTGGTAAAGGACTTTTTAAGCCTTCTGGACTCTTTTAATCTGGTACAGGCCGTATCCGGCCCTACACATGAACATGGACACACATTGGACCTGGTTATTTCCTGTGGTCTGCCAGTGACTAATCTGGAAATCTGTGACGCTGTGTTCTCGGATCACCTGCCTGTTTTATTCAGTGTCACTTTGACACCTACTACAGTTAAAACTCGCGCTGCTGTTCGGCGCTGTCGGATTATTAACCCTTCCACTGCCACTCAGTTCTCTGCTGCTTTTCTTCAGCTCTGTGGATCATCTGACTTCCTCCACTCCAATACAGAAGAGCTCTGGTCATGGTTCTGTTCTTCCTGTCAGACCATCCTGGACTCGGTTGCTCCGTTAAAAACTAGGCAGCCAAGGATTAAACCTGAGCCTTGGTTTAATGACAGAACTCGTGCTGTAAGGAAGGAATGTCGTCGTATTGAACGCAGATGGAAAAAGGACAAACTGCAGGCTACTTTTCAGATTTTAAAAGACTGTTGGCGTCTCTACCAGAGCACGGTTAAAGAAGCAAAAAGGGAATATTTGGCTAGTGTTATTTCTTCAAACAGCCATAACCCACGTGTTTTATTTGACACCATTGACTCTGTGCTTAATATTCCACAAAATGCCTGTTTGGAAGCTTCTCCTGGCATGTGTGAAAATTTTCTGCGTTTCTTTATTGAAAAGGTTGGTAGTACCAGGGCTCTTATTACAGCTCCTGACTCTGACCCCTCAGTTTCAGTCCCTTGCTCTGCTGTTTTTAATCAGTTTGAGCTTGTGACTGTTTCACTTTTAGAGGACGTAGTTGGCCGCATTAAGCCATCAGGTTCCCCACGTGATCCTGTCCCTCCACGACTTTTTAAAGATATTTTATCTAGTATAGGGCTGCCTGTTCTTGCAATTTTAAATGGCAGTCTGTCCTTAGGTGTGGTCCCTGCTAGTTTTAAACATGCAGTGGTGCAGCCCCTGCTTAAAAAACCTGGCCTTGATCCAACTGTTCTGGCTAATTATCGGCCTATTTCAAAGCTGCCTTTTCTTTCTAAGGTTTTAGAGAAACTTGTATACCGTCAGCTGACACAGTTTTTAAATGACAATGGCATTCTGGAGGTTTTCCAGTCAGGTTTTAAAACTCTCCACAGTACAGAATCTGCTTTAATTAGAGTTTTTAACGACATCCTTCTTGAGTGTGATTCTGGTAATCATGTTGTTCTGATTTTACTTGACCTAACTGCTGCTTTTGATACAGTGGACCACAACATTTTAATATCGCGATTACGACATATTGTTGGTATTGATGGCACTGTTCTTAAATGGTTTAAGTCTTACTTGGAGGAGAGAACATTTTCAGTGAAAATTAATGACTCTGAATCATCTTCAGTTCCAATGCAATATGGTGTCCCGCAGGGCTCAATTCTGGGCCCTATGCTCTTCTCGTTGTACTTACTGCCTCTGGGTTCTATCCTTAGGAAACATGGGATTTCATTCCATTGTTACGCTGATGATTGTCAGATTTATTTACCCCTAAAGCAGAAGGATGGACATACGTTCACACATCTCCTGGAATGTCTAGGAGATATTAAAGCTTGGTTGGCCTTGAACTTTTTAAATTTTAATGAAAACAAAACCGAGGTGATGGTGTTTGGACCCAGTGGCTCCTGTGAGTCCTCCTCTATTGACCTGGGACCCTTGGAGAAATATTTTAAACCTGTTATTACAGATCTTGGTTTTAAGGTGGACAGTGATTTTAAATTGGACAGCCAAATCAAAGCCGTGGTTAAGTCCAGCTTTTATCATTTAAAGCGATTGGCGTCAGTGAAGTCTTTTCTTTCCAGGCAGCATTTTGAAATGGTGATCCACGCTTTTATTTCGACTCGATTGGATTACTGTAATGCACTTTATCTGGGAGTCAGTCAGTTGCTGCTCTCACGTCTGCAGCTGGTTCAGAATGCTGCTGCACGACTTTTAACAGGAACTCGAAAGAGGGAACATGTGACCCCTGTCCTGGCTTCACTTCACTGGCTGCCTGTATATTTTAGGATTCATTTTAAAATTCTCATGTTTGTTTTTAAATCACTGCATAATCTTGCCCCGGCTTACCTCTCTGAGCTTCTTCATCCCTACATACCCTATCGGTCTCTCAGGTCAGCAGATCAGCTGCTCTTGGAGGTACCAAGAACAAGAAGGAAGCTCAGAGGGGACAGGGCTTTCTCTGTCATGGGCCCTAAGTTATGGAACGACTTGCCTTTGCAGGTCAGAGAGTCCCCTTCACTGTCCATTTTTAAAGTTCATCTTAAAACTCATTTATTCTACTTGGCTTTTAACACCAGTGGGATCTAGTTTTTAAATTTTGTATGCTTTTAAAATGTATGTTTTTAACACCAGCAGGATCTAGTTTTAAATTGTATGTTTTCTGTTTTTAAACTGTTTTTTATTTTCACTTTTATTATGTTGTGTTTTAATGTACAGCACTTTGTGTCAGCTATGGTTGTTTTAAGGTGCTTTATAAATAAAGTTGGTATGGTATGGTATGGTATGGTTTTAATGGTTAAATGGATTGGGCTGACTTGGCTGTTGTTTATGCCTTAACTTTTGGTTGTCATGCTTACAAATAGTTCAGTTGTCTTTGTTTTCAGAATATTTCAGTTTGAGATCTCTGTAAAAGAATCAGTGAATCTGGCTGTAAGAATATGGCTCTCAACCAGAAAAAGAAAAAGGTGAAATGCTCGCTCCAGGTTGGATGCAAGTCTCTGCCCTAAGCAGAAGAGTTCAGGTATCTGAGTATGTTGATCCCAAGTGATGGTAAGATAGAGTGGGAGATGATCAACTAATGGGAGTGTTGCTCCAGTTTGTTGTGGTAAAGACTGAGCAGAAAGGCAAAGTTATGGATTCACTAGTCTCTCCATATTCTAACCCTCACCTGTAGTCACCAGGTTTGGATCTTGACCAAAAGAGCTGGATCCTGGATGCAAGCACCTGAAATTCAATTCAATTCAGTTTATTTATAAAGCACCATATCACAACAAAGTTGTCTCAGGGCACTTTACAGGAGCATTCACATGCATAGAAAAGCCAATTAGTAAAGTTCTCTATCTAAGGAATCCAGCAGACTCGAATCTTCACTTTGTCACAGTCTCCCATTCTGAACAAGCACAATGGCAACAGCGTAAAAGGAAAACTCACTTTTAAAAGGAAGAAACCTTCAGCAGAACCAGTTTCAGGACAAGCGGCCATCTGCGTTGACTGGCTGGTTTTGGAGGATAGAAGGAGAGGCAAACGAATACAGAATGATAGGTCCAGATATAGGGCCAGGTGTACCTGAAAGACAGAAAAAAACTAATTACAAATACAAAACAGGTTGAGCAGAGTAAGTAACGACAGTAACAGAGTGAAAAAGTGTGGTCGGTTTGTCCTCCAGCAGTCTAAGCCAATAGCAGCATAACTAAGGGACAGTTCAGGAAACCCAAGCTGACCCTAACTATAGGATTTAGCAAAAATGAAAGTCTTAAGCCTATTCTTAAAACTGGACAATGTGTCAGCCTCATAGACAGAGATTGGAAGTTGGTTCAACAAGAGGGGAGCCTGATAACTGAAAGCTCTGCCTCCAATTCTGTTTTTGGAAACTCTAGGAACCACAAGTAAACCTTCAGTCTGAGAGAGGAGTATTCTATTATTAAAATATGGAACAACAAGATCTGTAATAAAAGATGGAGCTAGGTTGTTGAGATATTTGTAGGTTAGAAGTAAGATTTTTAATTCAATTCTGGATTTGACATGGAGCCATTGGAGAGAAGCTAAAACTGGAGAGATATGATCTCTCCTACTAAATCCAATTAAGACTCTGGCAGCAGCTATTTGGATCAACTGAAGACGTTTTAAAGAAGTATTTGGACACCCAGATAGTAAAGCATTACAATAATTCAGTCTAGACGTGACAAATGCATGACCCAGTTTTTCTGCATCATATTTAGATAAGTAGTTTCTAATTTTAACGATATTATGCAGGTGGAAGAAGGCGGTTCTAGTAATGTTTTTATTGTGGGGAAAAAGACATGTCCTGATCAAAAATAACAACACAATTTTTAACATTAGAGATGGAGGCCAGATTAATGCCATCCAAGGATGGCAAAAGACTGAAAAATTTATTCCTAAAATGCTCAGGTCCAAAAACTGAAACCTCAGTCTTGTCATTGTTCAAATGGAGAAAAATAAGGGTCAACCATATTTTTATGTCTTTAAGACATGCTTGTAGTCTAAGTAGCTGATTGAATTCATTGGGTTTAATGGACAAATATAAATGTGTATCATCAGTATACCAATGAAAATGTATCCCATGCTGTTTAATAACTTTACCTAATGGAAGCATATATAAAGTAAAGAATATGGTCCAAGCACTGAACACTGAGGAACTCCATGACTAACTGGTGTATGAAGAAGATTTATTATTTGCATTTACAAACTAGAATGTATCAGATAAATATGATTTAAACCATTTTAGAGCTGTTACTGTAATCCCAATATCATATTCAAGCCTCTGTAGTAAAATATTGAGATCAACTGTATCAAATGCAGCACTACGGTCTAACAGGACCAGTGTAGACACAAGTCCATTGTCTGAGGTCATGAGAATAGCATTAGTGACTTTTACTAGTGCTGTTTATGTGCTATGATGAGCTCTAAACCCTGACGAAACTCTTCAGATTATTTCTTTGTAGATATTCATGCAACTGATCTGCAACTATTTTCTCTAGATTTTTTGAGATTTGAAGTTAGGTTAGATATAGGTCTGTAATTGGCCAGAATTTCTGAATCAAGGTCAGACTTATTAAGTAAAGGTTTAATTACAGCATCCCTAAAGTGTTGTGGTACATAACCATTCATTAAAGACAAATTAAGCAGATCCAGAATGTGGACAATAATTCGGGGAAATACCTCTTTAAACAGTCTGGTTGGGATGTGATCTAGCAGACATGTGGATGGTTTGGATGACGCTATTATTTTTGACAATTCAGAGAGCTCAACAGAACAAAAACAGTCCAAACACGAATCAGGTTCTAGTAAATTTTTTAAAGTTGTCTCATCTGACAGGGTACTAGGGGTATTAGAAGGAAGGACGGTTTGAATTTTCTTCCATCCATCCATCCATCCATCCATCCATCCATTTCCTTCCGCTTATCTGGGATTGGGTTGCGGGGGTAGCAGCTTAAGTAGGGAGGCCCAGACTTCCCTCTCCCCAGCCACTTGGGCCAGCTCCTCTGGGGGAAACCCAAGGCATTCTCAAGCCAGCCGAGAAACATAGTCCCTCCAGTGTATCCAGGGTCTTCCTCAGGGTCTCCTTCCAGTGGGACATGTCCAAAACACCTCACCAGGAAGGCGAACAGGAGGCATCTTAACCAGATGCACGAGCCACCTCAACTGGCTCCTCTCGACATGGAGAAGCAGCAGCTCTACTCTATGACACTCTCAGATGACCAAACTACTCACCCTATCTCCAAGGGAGAGCCCAGACACCCTGCAGAGAAAACTCATTTTGGCCGCTTGTATCCATGATCTCTTTCTTTTGGTCACAGCCCAAAGCTCATAACCATAGATGAGGGTAGGAATGTAGATTGACTGGTAAATTGAGAGCTTTGTCTTTTGACTCAGCTCTCTCTTCACCATGACAGATCAGTACAGCACCCACTTTACTGCAGATACCGCACCTATCCGTCTATCGATCTCTCACTCCATTTTTCCCTCATTTGTGAAGAAGACCCCAAGATACTTAAACTCCTCTACTTGGGGCAGGACCTCCTCCCCAACCCAGAGAGGGCACTCTACCCTTTTTTGGCTCAAGACCATGGCTTCAGATTTGGAGGAACTGATGTTTATCCCGGCCATGTCACACTCAGCTGCGAACTGCTCCAGTGAAAGCTGTAGATCATGACCTGATGAATCCAATAGGACCACATCATCTGTAAAAAGCAGAGACATGATCCTAAGGCCACCAAAACAGATCCCCTCAACACCTTGGCTGCACCTAGAAATTCTATCCATAAGCACAAACAGCAATCAGAACCCGTCCCCCCACAAATAGGTGGAGGGAGGCTACCCTCTCATTGACTGGAGTGAACCCCAATGTACAGGCACCAAGATGGGGGGCAACAAGTATGCCCACTCCTGCTCGGCACCTCTCACCAGGGGCAACTCCAGAGTGGAAGCATGTCCAACCCCTCTCAAGGAAACTGGTTCCAGAGCCAGAGCCATGTGTCGAAGTGAGTCCGACTATTTTTAGCCGGAACCTCTCAACCTCACACACCAGCTCAGGCTCCTTCCCCACCAGAGAGGTGACATTCCATGTCCCAATAACCAGCTTCTGTAGCCGAGGATCAGTCCGCCAAGGTCCCTGCCCTCAGCCACCACCCATCCCACATTGCACCTGACCCCTTTGGCCCCTCCCACAGGTGTTGAGCCCATGGGAAGGGGACCCACGTCTCCTTTTGGGCTGTTCCAGGCCAAGCTCCATGGGTTAAAGCCCGGCCACCAGGCACTCGCCAGCCTGCCCCACCTCTAGGCCCGGCTCCAGAGTGGGGACCTGGTGACCCACATCCAGGCAAGGGAACATCGAGTCCATTTATTTTGCTCATCATAGGGGTGTTTGGGCTGCTCTTTGTCTGGTCCCTCACCTAGGACCTGTCTGCCTTGGGTGACCCTCTCACAAGGGGCAACTACTAGAGGCGTGAAGCTCCTGACAACATAGCTCCTAGGATCACTGGGACACTCAAACCCCTCCATCATGGTATGGTGGAAGCCCAGGGAGGAGTTTGAATTTTCTCTCTAATTGAAATTATTTTATTTATTAAGAATATCATGAAGTCATCACTGTTTATAGTTGTAGGGATACATGGTTCAACAGAGATGGGACTTTTAATTAGTCTAACTGTAGTACTGAAGAGAAAACTAGGGTTATTTTTATTCTCATTTATTAAAGATGAATAATATTAAGTTCTAGCTTTACAGAGAGCTTTCTTATATGTTAGCAGACTATCTTTCCAACTTAAATAAAATTCTTCAATGTTAGTCAAGTGCCATTTTCTCTCCTGGTTTCTAAATGCCTCTGGAGACTCCGGAAATGAGTTTCCTTTTTAGAGTGGCTGGGCTGAGCCTCAGATAGGTTGAGGAGCTCTGTCACCTGGGGGGAGATTCGAGTAGAGCCTTTACTCATTTGCATCAAAAAGAGTCAGCTGAGATGGTTCACACACCTTTGTTGGATGCCTTTCAAGTGTCTCATTCTGAGGTTTTCTGGGCTTGTCCCACTAGAAGGAGACCCCAGAGCAAACCCAGAATTTGATGGAGGAATGATCCAATCGCTCTGGCCTAGGATCACCTCGGGATCCTCCTGGAGGATCTGGAGACTGCCACTGGGGAGAGAGATATCTGGGTTCCTCTTCTGGAACTGTTACTTCCACAACCGAACAATGGATGGATGGACAGATGGATGGACAGTGTCTCTGGCTGATGCAGGATGTTTTGTTCAGGTTTGATGGAGAGCAGTCAGACACTGGCAGTGAGGTCGGATCCATTGACTCTCCCTGGAGTCGCTCCATAGAGGATCTCCAAGGTGATTGCAGCCTCCCATCCCCATCCTCATCTGTTCCTCGCTCAGCACGACACTCCATCAGGTAAAACAAAATGATGTGATAGACCAACACAGGTAAACTCATCTGATTAGTTATATCTTATATGCCTAAGTGTTCACAGCTCAACTTTGGTAACACGCTCGAACACACTGCCGAGTCGTCGAACACTGAAGAACTCACGGCTTGTTTGTAAGAAAGATGATGTTCATGTTTGCATCATGTGTTTGAGAGCCATCATGAACTACCAGGTAACAAACACAAACAACAGCTTCTGTCAACTTTGGACACTCAAACACTCTGAAACATCTTCCTCTTTCACAGTATGGCTTCAACATGGTTATGTCCCACCCTCACGCTGTCAATGAAATTGCTCTTAGCCTGAACAATAGGAACCCCAGGTACTACAATAAATACTTCTAGTACACAGCAGTATGTGACCTGAACACATGGCTAAATGTGTCATTCTGACTCCTCATCAGGACAAAAGCCCTCGTTCTGGAGCTGCTGGCTGCAGTGTGTTTGGTCAGAGGAGGACATGAGATCATCCTGTCTGCATTTGACAACTTTAAAACTGTAAACAGTAACACCACCACATTGACCAAAGAGTGGCACACACCTGACCAATGAAATGTTCCATTCATTGATTACTAAACTGCTCTTTTGCAGGTTTGCAATGAATCAATGCGTTTTGAAAAGTTGATGGAACATTTTAAGAATGAAGATGACAACATTGACTTCTTGGTAACACAGTCCTGAAGAGTTTATCATATAGTGACCCCTTCACATGAACATAATGTTTTCTGTTGTCATGGAAACCAACAGGTGGCCTGCATGCAGTTCATTAACATCGTGGTGCACTCAGTAGAGGACATGAATTTCAGAGTCCATCTGCAGTATGATTTTACCAAACTCAACCTGGAGGAACATCTGGAGGTAACACGCCATCCAATCAACATGGTCACATAATCAGTCCCATCCTATTCTAACATGTAGATGAAGTCATGAGGAACATTCATTCAACCTAAAACGATAGTGGTGATACAGAGGCTACAGAAGGCAACCCTGTGATTAAGAGGTTGCTGGTTACAATCCCCTGACATTACATCAAAATGTGGGAGGGCAAGGTTTCTTTATTGTCATTCACATTATATGTGGTACATGTGATGGAATGAAATTGTGTACACAGGGTCCCAGTTTAATCCAACAAAAGTATAAATTGTAAAGAAAAACAGCAATATGATTTTTTTTAATTTACCCTTTATTTTTATAGGTAGTCTCATTGAGCCATGAGAACTCATTTTCAAGAGAGACCTGTTTTTTTAAGGAGCAGATTGGGGTTAAGGACCTTGCTCATGGGCCCAAGGTGGGGCAAATGAGGGTGGGGGCAGGTGTGGGTGCTTCACCTACCCCACCCACATTTTTGATGTTGTCGTACCGGGGCTTGAACCGGTGATCTTCCGATCACAGGCCCAACTTCTCCAACCTCTGCGCCACCAATCCCCAATATATCCTGATGCATGCTCAATAATCCAGGTAGAAAAATCTAAAAAAGTTAAATCTGGTCCTCTGGACATTCAAAAAAAAACCAAAACAAAGCAAAACAACAAAAAATGTAGAAACGTTTCGTCTCTCGTCCGAGAGACTTCTTCAGTCTGAGGTGCTGTTTTC